GCGTACGCGTAGGCGTAGTCTTAAAGCTTTATTGCACTGGTCCTTTTGCATCAGCTTCATCCGACAGGCGCCGGAACGCCGCGGGCATCCGCACGCCGTCCATAAACCTATTTGTAACGTTTTCACTTAGCCAATCAGTGCCATAGATTACGTCCAAAGTGCATAACGCGCCGTGACTGTCGTTATGAGGGGACGCGTTTCCGGATGTTGCCGCGCGCCCGCGAAGAAGTGAGACCCGGACGCGCGGTCCGCCACGTGCAACGCGTTCTTCGCCACGGACCCCGCTTTCTGGGTTCCTTCCTCCTTCCACTGGCAAAAACATGTCCGCGGAAGGCCCCGACTACTACGACCTGGCCGTCGAAAACTATGATCTAACGCGCGTCGCACTTCTGCACGGTCCGCCTTCGACCGCCATCGCGTCTCTTCGTCCGGAGAAACTATCCAAGCTCGTAAGTGGCGAATCAACCTATACTCCTTGTACTCATCCTTCTCAGAGACTCATGACCACTGAGTATCATATCTGGGCGTGGCGTCTGCAGCAGATCTCCCGCAAGATGGGTGATATGGCCGACGCCTCGCCAGTGCGCGGTTTGCGGGGCGAGATGGTACGTCTTCCCTTTCCTGGTCGCTAGACTTGCGTCGCTTAGACCCTCGAGAGTCTCGCGCAGTGCTAATGAGTGGCCACCTCGCGCTTTTTCACGAGGTTTCGGCAATGGAGTTGACGAGACGGATGCTTTCGCTCCGGTATCTTCCCGGCTGCGGCGCACAGGACCTCGTTGACTTTGGATTCATGAATTCATACTATCCGGGTTTTGTGCACGAGGCGGGCGAGAAAGATGTCTTGCCCCCGCTGGAGGAGATCACCAGCCAACACGATGCAGGCGCTCCTCTGTGTCGGGCCGGGGGGCTTGTGTCGGTGGACAGCCACGCTTGGTGGAACACGCCCACAATCGAACCCGAGGAACCCGTCGTTCTCGAGGAGGCGGCCAGAGCAGCGGAGTATCTCCTCCGTGCGCCTCGTCGACTACTCACCGGATTGACGCCGCTTCAGTGCGCCCCGGATCCTCACCCTATAGCCGCCGTTGTCGACGTATTGGGCGGACTCAATTGTCTTCAAGACGCGCTGCAAGATGTGGTGCGTGTGGCAGGGGAAGATATCAGGAGGAGGACGGGGGGGATGATTTTTGACCGAATGCAGTTGGGTGGTCGGAGCGGCCTTACACAGGACGAGCTCTGCATGCTACGAGATTATGAGGCAACAATGAAGACACAATCGATCACCAAGGGATGAGGTTCAAGTTGACGATATCGTGTATGTGACGTTACTTCGGCATGAGTGGAGATTCCGTGGCAGGCGCGTGTACTCGCGGTACGCAGCTGGCATCTTTCTACATGGTACTAGGTTTCCACAGGCAAAGTACTGTATCCGCCGTGTTGTTTATTGCCGCGACGATTTCCTGAATCGACTGTGGTTTGTTTAGCGGTATAGCTTTGCCGCGTGCGCCTCCCGTGGATGCAATTCATGGTCGAACCGCGATGCCGACAGCTCCAGTCTGGCGACAAAGTTAATGCGACAGACTTTCAAAATGTTCCTTCAGTAGTGTGGTCATTATCCGAAGCTATGGTTTAGAGACGGCAGTTAAAACCTGGATATTGATTGAGAGCGACGTTATCGACGCGGTCGGTTCGGCATCACGAAGTAAACCGCTTACAAAGAGGAGGTGCGCACACTGCATAGAAATGACATATGAGTTAATACATGCATAGTATGCCCCCAACTACCAGCTGCAGCTCCGAAATAAGTACTTCCGTCGATCGGCAAGTGATGGCTTCGGCAAGATCCGAGGCGGGTCCGGATAACCGTTCCGCAGGTCTGGCTTCGCGAGGAGTTCTTCTTTGACGGTCATGTCGAATGCGAGCTCCTCGACCGAGCCGCACGCACTCTCGGGAGATGTGGCTCCTACCATATCTTGCGATCACATTCGGCGGAGGAATGCTATCTTCCTCAGAGCCCATCCCTCTTTAACTGCTTCCCAGCTATACGGGCATCGCGTGGGGGCCATCTTTCGGGCGACGGCCGCGCTCTTTTGGAAAGAGGCTCGACCGCATCCGCCGCGGCGATATGCGACTCGTGTCAGTCACTACGGAAGACTGCTACTAGCAGAGATGGTCGGTGAACGTGATTCTGTCGCTACTGATATTGCTTATAGTCGTCTAGGCCATATACGAGGATCATCGAACCTTCACATCAGGGCGAGCCGGAAGCTACTCCCTTCTCCGTGATAGAGTGCGCGCCGTTCTTAACACGCGCTCGTATGACACTATAGAAGACAGGGTTCACGATTTTGAACGAGCCATCTTCAGTCTACCGGCGAAGTACGTTGTGGATGAAATGGCATGGGATGTCAATCTCAGCCTAGGCGCGTTGCAATGGTGGACTTTGATGAGTACGTAGATGGCACTCTGTGGCATCACGATGTTAAAAAGCAGTAGGTTTGGATGTGCAGATAACTGAAGCAAACATTGAGCGGCGAGCTCATATGACAACAACGTCTGAGAATCAGGCACGACCGGCGTTGGATTCTTATATACGTGAGGTATCCTTACATTCGACCCGCGGTCAAAATGCTGAATTCACATACGAAGTCACGGCCACGAGACAGGGAGCACAAACAGGCGGCGAGCCTGTAGGCGTAGACGACAGCAATCTTGCCGAGGGAGGTATGTGCGTATATATGAATGGTCCCGTATTCTGTCTTAAAGCACAAGGCACCAACTGCGATAGCCGTGCTGGGCGACAGTACCGTGTATTCACGGGTTCGCTGCATGGTCCATCGGGTTCGACCAGTGGACTACCGGCACCCAAAGCCGTCAGGCGCGGACGAACAGTGGCTCACGAAGGGCCTCCCGAGCATGTCGACCAAGCGGGAAAAGATCATGCAAGTTTCTCAGCCCCGCCTATGTCCCCCACGCTAATCGCAACGCACCGTAACAATCGGGAATATGAAGGAAACGTGCGAGGTGCGTGAGTGACGCGTTCTTTCGATATTCAAGACTTACACGCCTTAGTCGTCTCACAGAATATAGCGCAATCACCAGTGGACAAGCCCCGCTCGAGCAATAGACGTATGTTCATACATATCGCGGCGCTTTACATGTTAATATATCGTTCGCAGGAAACATCCCCGTCCGTCTACTGGAGGTTCGTTCTGAGCCAGACACAGGAGTGTCCGAGCCGCCCAGGGCGGACGGCGCTATCCCAGCTGATTCAGACGACAACGGCGAGACCGCCAAGACCGAGGAGCTGGCAGTGAAAGAAACTGCGTTCCTTGAACTGAATAGCACCATGGCTATGGTGCAGCGGAATATCATTCGCGCATTTGGGACGTTATCAGACGCCGACGACGCATCCAGTCTCGCTTGGAAGGAGGCTATAAAGCTCAATGACGGCCTCAGAGAGACGCATTTCAGTGACCGCGTGTCCGAAGGGCGTTCTGCGATTACGTTGGCCGCCGCCGATCGCTTCAGCGACGAGGAGCATGCCGACATGCGTCAGACAGGCCGCGAGAAGGCGGCATGTTCTGCGGCGGAACCGTCGCACACGGGGGAGGACCGGGACGAAGCGACGTTCGCCGACGCATCTCTTCCGACCAGATCAGCCACCAGATCAGCGCCCGCGGCCTTGCTCCTACGTGCCCGTAGTCCCGATCCCACCGCACTACCCTTTCCCACCAGCTCCACTATCTCCGCAGAGCAAACAGGAGGAGCGGGCACGTTGGCATCTACGCCCGTACGAGAGGGTGACGCTGGATTCGTAGGAATGTTTGTACGTCCGCCGCTACGTTGTCGTTGCCTCGGATGGAAAGATGATATCCTGTCAGGAGCCCTATCCAGATCGACCCAGCATCATGACTGGCGCCCGAGAACCGCGGGTTGCGACGACAAGACTGGGGGTGAAGCGGGCGCGTATATCCGACGGAACTGGCGCGGAGAGAAGGGAGAAGTGGACGGCAGATACCCACGGACACTTTGCATAAACCGGACGCCATCCGCATACGGTGCACAGCTGTGGATCGAGCAATCGACTGAAGTAGGTCAGTCGTCAGATTCATGTTCTTCTGGATCCTATCATGCCGTTAACAGAGAAGTCGTTGACTTGTCTTCCAGGACGCCGCTGTTGAAACGTCCTTGCGTTCCCGTTGTCGCGCCCTTCCCGCCTTCCTGCGGCTTCGCATGCAACGCCTGGTTGTATGTGTGCGCAACCGCTCGTATACTTACAGAATGTGAAGTGCGAACCTAATGATTGAGTGAATTCGAGTTGCGTGTACGCATCGTCGTCACCCCAGATCCTTAGCTTCACATACGCGCTAAGGCGTCGCTGGGCTTGCGCGTCTTTATGGAGTTTGAGAGACACGCATGCGCAATCGCAGCGGATAGAGATCTGCGTTCATCCAGGCACGGTGATGAAACGCCGAACCGGTGTACGGGGAGAATAAATATCAAAGTTGCGTAAACTCTTTAAGGCGCGATAAACAATATTAGCATTGCTAGATGGGAGTACCGCCAGTCTCGTGCGCGGTAGGCGACCGAATCTGACCTTCACGAGAAGTAGCTGACCAATGTTGTCTTGATAGAACGGCGACGGTCGAACTGTCTCGCTTCAGACAGAGGACTTCATCTTCAGACAGCCGGTCCTATCTTCAGACGGGGCAACTGACTTCCGACAAACTGAATTGTTACCTAGCTTGGCTAGGTTTCCCGCCCTCAAAACCTGTCCAGGCATTGCCCAACCGGGGTTTGCCGTGCCGCACTCCGGTATGAGGCAAGAATTTGATCCGGGCAATGCTCCAGGTTCGACTCTCGACGCAAATCCGACACGTTCTGCCAGTGGTGTCCATTATAAGTTGGAATGGGGTACAGTCAGGCAAATAGATCATACCGTACGGGGCATCCGCTAAAGTCCTAATGGATACCGACAACAAGCACTGGTCTTGCCGATATCTCAGAGCCGCGTTGGAGAAAATCGAATGTATATACTCAGGCCGCGGTTTGAATATCTGCGGCCCGATCAGGAAACGTGTGTGTCGACGGTGCAGCCTCTATAGCGCATGAGCTAGACCAAGCTGGGTTCCTGCTGACGGAGTTCAGCGCTCTAGTCTTCAGCGGGCGGGCGGAATCCTCCAACGTATCGGCGTGTCGCCGCCAATCGCGCGACGACGGCAGCCAGCCTTCGCTCCTGATCGCCTACGCGGGCCGCGTTCCGAATCTCCGAGTCTTCCCCATCAGCGCCGCGCGGCGGCCTTTCGGCATTTCCCGCGACAGGCGTCACTCCTAAACCCGCCGTCCGTCAGTTGCGCAGAACCACCACCAGCGTCTAACAATCCATACACCCGTATTGGTACGCCGATTTGGTTTCAGCGCATGCGGTTACCTGACATGGTGCCCGCATAGTCCACCACACTCTTCGCCATGCTTCTCCCCGAAGTACTCTGCAGCATTGCGCTGGCGTTACTCGCTGATGACGACCTAGCCGTCGTGTACGGAGATGAGCGGGACTTCTCGTGGTTTTTGATGAGCCACGTCAGCAAGGCATGGCGCTTCGAGCTGACAAATTGTTGCTCTCTGTGGGCTCGCGGTATCAGCCACGTCCGTACCGTCGAAATGTTCGAACTATTTCTCAGACGGGCGCAAGATTGCCCTTTGGTTGTGGACACCGATGTCTTCAGCAGCCACGTCACAAATCGGCAGTTCACCCTCAGATTCATTCCGCTTTTCCTGCAATTCACCTCTATCTACACGGTCGTTCGTGCGCGCAGCGTTCGTAGTTTCTCCACACGACACTTAGAGTTGCTGCCTCACGGTTGGTCCGCCGGTCACTGGAATCGGAGACTTTCGGGAGCGACGTTTCATCACCTCGCAGAATTGAAGATCTGGTTTCCAGAGAAGGCGGAACCCATATTACCATTTACGGCGCCTGCCCTCCGACAGCTTTCCCTGCACGGCCGCTGGACCGATAACGTGGGCGTCATCAACATCGACTGCCTTTTCGCCATTCTCACAGGCTCTCCGCTTCTGAAATCCCTCGAGCTGAAATACGCTCTGGCAAGCGACCCGTCCCTTGCCCTGACGGGAGAGAGTCTTACCGGTCTCACCCGTCACACTCTTCGGGAGCTTGATTTCGCCGATCGACAAGATGATGCGTTATTTGCTCTCAGCACGCTCGTTCAGTTAGAGCCCTCAGCCGAGCTATCTATATACGTCGAAGATCCACTCTCCCTCGCGCGGACTCTTGACGTATTTCGCACTTTGGCGCGCGTCGAACGAGACGCAGAGATGGAAGTTCGCATCAAGACCAGTCCATCGTGCGAGCTCTCAGGCGTTGCGAGCGCGTACACGGTGCGCATTGCGTACGAAAGTCCCCCGTCGATCCTTCAAATTTCGAAAACCCGTTCCTCGAAAGCGGCGTGGACTTGGGAGGCGCTGGGGTCCCTGCTCTCCGGCCGCACTCGGGGCTTAACGTTGGGCGTTTTCCCGGCCGACAGACCCTTCTTTGCACCTACGAAACACGGGGGACCGCCACTTTATGATCTCACGGGGTTTATGGCACAGATGGACGGACTCCGCCACTTCAGTGTCAGCGGCGAAGACGTCCATGCCGGAGCACTGGATCTTCTACCCGGCACGCATGTCCCGAGTCAGCTGGTGGTTCAAGGTGGCCCCGGAGGCGCCTGCCTTGACGCTCTCAGAATGTGGCTGGACCGCCGACAGCCAGCAGGCGATCTGCGAGCGTCCCGCCCGGTGGTGATTCTTCAGCACTCGACGCTGGAAGGGCCGCAGCACAGCAAGGTCACGGCGCTCGCAGAATACTGTTCTGAGCTCCGTGACGAGAGGGTTCCGCCGGTCATTGTGCACGTCGACTGAATACTTCGTCAGCGATAGTGATGCTCACCTACGTGCCACTCACATTGGCAACGATTCTCGGCCGCATCTAAAAGTTTTCATACCCTGTTGTAGTAGAAATGAAGATGCGAAGATGTTGCAGCCGATCCTCCAGGCTCACGAATTTCCGAAAAGCCCTACTCCCACTCATTTCCTCGCATAGCGCCCATGGTTTGTAAATGGTGGACAGAGTATCATGAATCTGGCTGTAGCGTGAGCATTGTAAAGGACAATTGTTGTCACCGGCCATGTTTCGGGATAGCTTAGCGTTTGAGTTCACTGTCGAGGCACCTGTATGGTTTGACGGTAGCCGCGAGGGAGTATATTCCGTCCACCCCGTGGTGTATAGTCCTGCTACCGACGAGAGTTACGTCGTCGCCGTCACGATTCGAGCCGCTTCTCAATGCGAAGGAGGCGGCCGAGGCGGCGAGGAAAGTAGAAGGAACACGAGGACGCGCGGGCCGTGAGACCGGATCGATCATCGCGGGGCCGCCGCTTCCGCGCGTCGGCCGCGACTTGCTCTCGACGACAACCTCTTCAGCACGACGGTATGGCGCCAACCACCGGCGCGTCGCCGAGGAACCGCACACTTGATGACGATATCTGGCGCATGGTCGTAGACTGTCTTCTTGACGACCTTCGTGACGAATACCCTACACGTCCGTTATTGCCTGACAGTTACCTCGAGCCGATCGTCGCCTGGCAGCCGGGCCCGCAGTCGTCGAGGCCGCCGGCATGCCTGCCTTACAACTGTTGTTGGACCCCTCGCGGAGCCAGAAGCGGGCAAGCGCAGAGTTGTTTCTTTCAACGACTTGAGCGCCAGGGCCTCACGGCTATGTTGCACGCGAATAGGCAGCTTCGACGAGTAGTCCTCTATCACTACGGCTACCTACCCCTCTTCCGCTTCAAAGACCCCACGTTCTGGAATCATCATCGCGACATGTTTATCCAATCAGGAGACATCTTCATCCCTACTGGCGCTTGCTTATGCCTTGCACGCTGGGCGTCGCGTCATGTACGCAGGGCTCGCCGGATCAAACTCACACTGCCATCGACGGATGAGCAAGACTTACACTCGTCCGCGAGATGGCTTATTGACGCCTTCCTTGAACACGGGATAGGTCGGCTCGAGGACCTCGACGTGCGCTGCGATTGGGCGGAAGCATACGAGGAAGACGCCGCGAAAATCTACTTCATTTCCGCGGTGATTCGGCGGATGCGGGCCCTGAACTTCCCCGGCGCCGTTGTCGGACCAAACCTCTCGGACTTAGAACTGGCTTCTGAGGAGGACCACTACTCCTGGAAACTTCACGACACGTGTCAGATGCTTCGGGAGTGTACGCGACTCAAGAGGCTGACGCTACTCGCTATCGTATCTCCCGACATCTCAACTTGGAATCCGGACACTGAGAGCCCCATCATCTTACAGGACCTCTCTTTCATTCATGTCAGAGACTCCCTGGTAGTCTGGAGGGCACTACACGGCCTTCTCTTTGCCCCACAGCTTGCAAGAGTGCACGTGGACGTCATCGCTGAACGCATGATGAGCAATCATGATCCAGATTTGGCTGCCTTTGAGATTGAGTGCGGCGAAATCGCACGGCTAGCCGTGCGCCTTTGTCCCCGGGCAATTCTTTCGGCCGAAGATCTGACGTACAGTCTCCATTTTCAACGTGACCTCGATGAGGACGTACCATACATTGCACCGATGCTCGTGAATTGGCCCGAATATCTTCAAGCGAAGCTCACGCGCGCGCATCCCTTCCCAGATGACGCCGGCCTCCCCGTTAAGGACGAATTGGAGTTTATATTGACGCAACGCTCGGCCATGACGTCTACAAAGCCCCTTGCTCCTGGCGAGCGCCGCCTACAATCGCCGCGCGCACACCCTTTTGACGTCTTCACAAAATTTTGGATTGCCGCCTTATATGCGCTACAGACATCGAGCCCCATGCATCGTCATGTTCTTTCCGACCGCGTCATCGAGTTGGTGATGAGCTGTGACCATCGAGCGCCAAGTCCAATCAGTTGGCACGAATTGTTCGTCGAGATGCCGAATATACGCAAGCTATACGTGCTCGGCATTCGGAAGGACGGAGGCGGTTTGCGTCATCTCGCGTCCGCGTTGGGCACGTATATGCAGGAGACATTTGTTCCTGGAGAAGAGATAGTTGAGATCCGTCTTCCGCACTGGAATTCAAGGCGGGGTCCGATACCCGTGGATGCGCTGGAGGAAAGATACCATAACGTACGAGAATTCCATGTACATCCCATAGTCTGGTCGCAATGACATCCCGCGTACACCTTTGGGTCTCACAGAAAGTACAACTATCAAAACATCTATATCAATACGTTTGAATACTTTACGACGCGTTCTTTCGACTTTACCAGCGTCCGCGTCGACTCCCCGCAACGCGAGGGCTTCATTTCCGCACGCCGCCCCTTTCCTCCCGCCGCCGTCTCCCTTTTCCTTTTCCTTTCCCTCCGTACTTTCTCTTTCGTGTATATACGCGCTGTTGTGCCCATTTATTCTACAGTTGCCCTTTCACTTCCGTCGTCCGGCGCGCCCTTCCGGTCTAGTCCGACCTGTCGCGACTCTCCGCGCTCCGCGCCTCACTTCCTTCCCGCCGCCGCCGTCCCCCGTACTGCCGCAACCTACGCCATTCGCCTGCGCTACCAAGTCTGCGCTCCGCCCAGCGTCGAGCACGCGCGAGTTTGCGTTCCTTCCCTCCACGCAGCCGCCACCTCGACTGTCATGCGCAACAGGTAGACTGCACCTCAGGCTCCGCCCGTGCGGGCAAATAGCGTCCGCGCGCCGACCGGGCGCTCGCCGCCCCTTAAGTCCTCAACACCGCACCCTCTTGTCCCGCTAGCGCCCGCGCTCCCGTCGCCCACATCCGGCTTACCCACGCGCCACCCACGAACGGTGAAGCACGGCCCCAGCTAGCTGTCGACAACACGCGGAGGGCACAGCTTCGATGGTAAGCAACCGCTCGAGCGATCTGAGCACAATCCGGCGCCGGCGCATGCGGACGTTTACCATGGGTTCGCCGAGGCTCATCGAACCGGCGCAAGCGCACCAGACTATGAGATGCGCTTCTCGCACGCACGCATATCAATACAGCCGCGGGCCTCAACGCTTTTCAAGATGCCTTGTGATGGCTGCGATGCCCCAATTTTGAAACCCGCGCTGGACAAGCAACAGACCCTATATATGATGGAAACGGAGCATACATGTACTCTAAGCTCCTACTGAGTCGACAGAGCACAAAATAGGACGACTGTAGCAGTCCGGGGGGGAGGCCGAGGGCGCCGAGGGGGATCGTGATTCAAAATGGCACCGGGGTTTACAGCGATCCACCGTCAAACCGCACACCAAACAGTTCATCGGGCTTTGCGGTCGCAACCTGTCGATGAGTACTTACTTGGTTTCTTTTTCTAGTCGTGCTTCCGCCAGTAGACTACATGCACCTCACTACTTTCCCGGGAGAGCAATGGTCAAAGCGTACGGGTACGCCTGTTTGATGGGCCACGTGCGGCGCGGGAACGCCACCCGCCAAACCGCACATTCACACAGTACGTAGGGATATTTTGGATACAGGGTAAGTGCTGAGTACGTCTTAGGGTCAATATGACTCTCCTGTACCTCTCGCCGGAAGGAATGCAACAGAGTCACTCGAGTGACGGCCGTCGTCGCGGTGTGCGAGCTGACGGTGGTGTGCGGTTTGGCGGTGGATCGCTGTAAGTGGCGCGGATGTAAATTGCGCACGCCGGCATTAAATTCCCGCGCATAGCCCATTCAACCGACTTCCTGAGAGCGCTTCGACCTCGTTCTTCCACCTACGCTCATCGCAAGCTCTGTCGTACCTCATGACCTTCCGCGAACTCGACACACCATCCCAATTCGCGCGACGCGATTTCTACACGCGGATACGGTACGGCTTCTCAGGTGGATTATATGTGCCTGCCCGGTAGACCTGGACTCGGTACTGATAAGGGGGCATTGGATCATCGCGTACTATTGTGCTCATCGCGGGCTTGGTGGAGAATGGATGACAGTATCGGACACCGTGATCGGTGTAAAGGCGGAATAGGTAAGGATAAGTCGCACTGTGTCATGAAGCAGAACTGATTGTTGCCACAGAGGAGAGGAGGAGGAGGAGAAGGATGAATTCGACTCGCACGCACCGCGCAAGAGACGCGAGACGGAGGATCTGGCTAGGCCGCTCTAGAAGTGGACGAATTTAGAGGAGGACGTCAGACGCTTTGAGGTTCAACATGTTCAAAGTCGCGCTCAGCTTCGCCGGGGGACAGCCTCTTCGCTCTGCAGACTGGTTGAGTGCCACTAATCCCTTAGCCTTGGCTAGTATGCTGAGTCTTCACGTAGAATTCCGCTCGACGAGACTAATCTCGCAAGTTCAGATACGCTTCAAGCCGTGTCCGGTCTCTCGAGTGTCCCCACTGCATCCATCAACTTCACTGGGCAGGATCGCTTGAGTCGATTCTACGTCACCCCGACCTCAGACTCTTCGCATGCATGAATCTCTCGACCGACGTTGCCGAGAAAGATTTCCCACCCCACATTCGTTTTCGCTCCACAAAGATCGACGTTCCTCCTCCCGATGCGGACAGCGAGACCCTTCAACACATCGTCGCTCAATATATCGGAAGTGCTGCTCTCGGCGGCAAAGCCGCCATTCTCGACTTGTTGAATCACGATAGCTCGCAGACAGCGTCATCGATCAGCTGCACTTCAGCGCGCACGCGGGTCCGGGAAACCACATTTGCGGCGGATATTGCGGCAATGTACAGTCTACGCCGCGTGTTACGGGAGGGCTGCTGATGGCTTTCACTATGGCTCTGGATGTTCGCAGCGCAAAGGCGGTCGCGGCGTTAGCCGAGAAGCATATCCTTCACGGTATCAAAGACATGCGCTCGCTACTCGCGAAGGAACCGTCGCCTTTATCGGGCGCCCCGTCGAAGAGATCGTGAAGTTCGGACCGTTTTACCTCGAGCGCGGCCCGCTGCCTCTCGACGCCGTGCCGGATCACATCATCACCCCCTTTGTGTCCCAGAAGCTCATCAATCTAGCGCGTATCGTCTCTTCCCGGCGGTGTCCTGTTCTTATCGAGGGTCCTACATCCGCCGGCAAAACGTCCGCAATCGAGTCAACGGCTCGTCGTACCGGCCACCGCTTCGTGCGAATGATAAATCACGAATGCACCGATATATAAGAGTACCTCGGCACATACGTCTCCGACCCTGAGCCCGGGGGCGCTTGTCTGGCGTGACGGTCTTCTCGTGCAGGCATCGGGCCAAGGGGATTGGTTGGTACTCGACGAGCTGAATCTGGTGCCGACGGACGTGCTCGAAGCGTTGAATCGCTTTCTCGATGACCACCGCGAGCTTGTTCCCGCGACGGGTGAGGTTCTCCGCCGACCGCCCCTCCTTCGTGCTATTCGCTACGCAGAATCCGCCAGGCCTGTACGCCGGCCGGAAGGTTTTTGTCGCGTGCGTTCGATAAATGTAGTCGCAGCGCTCTATCGACTATCTTGGCAGACAGAGGACGGCGCGTTAGCCGCGTCGCCGACCTACGCGGCAAACTTGCTCGGCTCGGCACAATCTTCGAATGCCACGACGGCCCGTTAGTCACCGCTATGCACTCGGGCTCTGTCTTCTTGCTTGACGTGATATCGCTTGCGGTCGACAGTTTAGAGCGCCTCAACTCCGTACCCGAACGTGCTCGTATCGTGGTCCACACTGAACGCGCCGGTAGCGAAGCCGTCACGGCTGCAAAGGGTTTCAAGCTCGTTGTGACGATGAACCCGGGTGGCAACGCACGAAGGAACTCAACCCCGCTTTGCGCATCCGATTCACGGTGATCTGGGTCCCGGCCGTTGAGGATCGCGCAGACCTCGAAGGGATTGTCGATGGAAGATGGGTGCATGCGGCGTTGAAGCCTTACACTGCGCCGCTCCTAGACTTCTGCGAGTGGATAGGTGTGAGGGGTTAACGAGCGTAGTCTTCTTGGTCTCCGTGATATACTGGTGCGTGTGACTGACGTTCCGGATACTTCCTCGGCTGATCGACGTGAGCAGGCCGGGGTCTCGTTCTCGACCTCTATAGTTACCGCAAAGGTTGAAATTATCTACCCTGAGGTCGCGCGCGAGAATGTTTGCAAGCTCGAGGCGTACGTCGAGGAGGTGTCGAACACCGACAACGTTGTCACTGACGCGATAAACATGGAGAAGATCCAGGAGGACGTGCTCAAGGTATGGAACGTATTCAAGACGCAGCCGGAGATCTCCGAGGAGCAGAAGAGCAAGATTAAGGACCTCTACGCTAGCGTTGTACGCTCGCTCAAGGACGAGCCCGCCAAGACGCGCCCTCACGCCGGCTAGCCTCGTACGCGCCGCGCATCGTTACAGTTCCTGCGTCCGCACGTTGCGAACGATGCCCCTGTAGCCGCTGAGAAGGTCCCACTCCTGCATTTCAAACGCAAGGTCGGCGCCAACTGGAAGTATTCTTCAAACCTCACGGGTGTCTACCTCGGCGTCCTGCACGAGGTCGCGACTCCGGTACAACGTTCAAAGACAAGAATGCGCTTCTCACTGCTGTCGGCAAGGGTTCAATTGGTGTGGAGATCTTGAAGGGTTTGCTGTCGGGCGGTGCGCACGTTGTCATCACTACTTCCCGCTATAGCCGCCCGTCCGTCGAGTACTACCAGGGGATCTTCCAGCGCTTCGGCTTGCGCGGCTCCGCCCTCACTGTGGTACCGTTCAATCAGGGCTCAAAGCAGGACGTTGAGGCCGTTGTCAACTACATCTACGGCACTCTCGGCCTCGATCTGGACTACATTCTGCCCTTCGCCGGTGCGCCCAAGAACGGCCGTGAGATCGACGGACTCGACGATAAGTCTGAGCTTGCGCACCGCATCATGCCGATTAACCTCAAGACCATCTCGCAACTTCGTCATGCGCCCGACGCAGGTCATCCGTCCGCTTTCGCCCAACCACGGACTCTCTGGCAACGACGGCTTGTACTCAGAGTCGAAGATCTCACTTGTGACCTTGTTCAACCGCTGGAACTCGGCGAATACCTTGGCTTCGCTGGCGCTGTCATCGTTTACTCATCTCTTCGCTCTCTCCTGCTTACATATATTTAAAGTTGAACTCGCGGTACCGGCCTCACGGACGCGACGAACGTGGTCGCCCAGGAGGTTGAGGCACACGGTGTCCGCACATTCTCCGTTAAGGAGATGTCCTTAACATCCTCGGTCTCATGCACGCTACTTTTTTCGATCACCCAGGTCGAGCCTGTCCGGGCCGACCCCAGCGGTGGTATGGATCGTGTTGCCGACCTCGCCGAGATCACTACCCGCATCCGTATGACGATCAATAAGAAGGCAGAGCTTCGTCGCGCCATCGCCCGTGACAAGTCGGCCGAGTTCAAGACGGTGAATGGTGTCGAGGCCGAGCGCGTCCTCCAGAAAGTAGACGTCACGCCCCGCGCCAACTTCCGCTTCGACTTCTTCGAGCTTGAGATACCTGAGACGCTCGGGAACCTCACCAAGCTCCGCGACGGCATCGACCTTGAGAAGGTTGTGGTCATCACTGGCTACGGCGAGGTTGCACCATGGGGTAGTTCCCGTACGCGCGAGGAGATGAAGACACGCGGCAAGCTCACGTTCTAGGGCTGTATCGAGATGGCCTGGATGATGGGCTACATCAAGCACTTCGATGGGCGCCTCAAGGATGGCTCGCTCTAGTTCGACTGGGTTGACTCGAAGTCCGTTGACGGACAAGCACATCAAGGGCAAGTATCAGTAGGACATCATTACTCAAGCCGGTGCCCGTCTTATCGGTACGCATATTCCTCTACATTGATGTCTGGTCGTTAACTGACATCTAGGATAGAGCCTGAATTTTTTCGCGATTACGATCCTAAGCACAACATCTTCCACCAGGAGAACGAGCTTCTGCATGGCCTGGAGCCACTGGAGGTAACTGGCGATGAGGCCGAGCGCTTCAAGCGCGAGCACGCCGATCGCTGCTACATCCGGGTTGGCGAGGGCGGACAGTGGTTCGTCAACTTCAAGAAGGGCGAGCGTGTCTGGTAGCCGAAGGCGTCGTTTTCAGCCGCCAGACTGCTGGCCAGCTCCCTACTGGGTGGTCTGTCGGCCGCTATGGTATTCCCGACGACATGATTCCTCGCATCGATCGCGTCTCCCTCTGGGCGCTCGCCAGCATGGCCGAGGCCCCCAAGAAGTCCGGAATCACGGACCCGTACAAGCTCTACGAGCACGTTCACGCGCCCGAAGTCGGCATCGGGCCGGGTATGGGGGGACTCTATGGCGACGATGTTCAAGGACCGCCGCGACGAGATGGAGGTGCAGGCGTATTCTCTCACTCTTTGCTTCTCGCCACTCGCTAACTGTGCTTCCTAGGTTCATCAACACGACGGCGAGCTGGATCAACTGGCTTTTATTATCTTCGCCTGGTCCTATCAAGGTTCCGGTTGGTGCTTGGTACGTGTGTTAGTAGAGTCATTCTTCAATGATACCAACGCACTGCGCAGCGCCATAGTAATTTAGTCTCTCGAGATGGCCAGCGGCACGATTATTTCTGGCAAGGCGAAGGTCATGATCGCCGGAGGTTTCGATAACTTCTCCGAGGATGGCTCTTATGAGTTCGCCAATATGAGGGCACCAGCAACACAGAGATAGAGTTTCCTGTGGGCCGTGAACCATCGATGATGTCGCGCTCGACCACGACCAGCCGTGCTGCGGTACGTTGCTCCGATCCTGCAGTCCTATTATCATCGCTGACCTCTACGTAGTTCACGGGAGCGTGGGTTGCAGGCGCGCAGATTGTCATGAACACTAAGACCGCGCTCGAGCTCGGCCGTCCTATCCGCGGAAATCTGGCATTCACGTCGACATCTTCGTACGTGATTTCCCGAGTTTTTGTATCGCGTCACCACTGACCTTCTTGCACCAACAAGGCTAGCCGTTCCATCACCGCACCCGAATCCGGTCCTCTCATTGTTGCCGGCACCGTCTCAACTCAGAGCCCGTCTCGATCTCATGTATTGTGCGCCGGCTTGCTTTCCGCCGTAAACAGATCGGCGAGTGGTTGTCGCACGAGCAGGTTCAGCTCAAGGAGGATATGGAGTTCTCCAAGAGCCAGGGCGACGCCCCGGTGAGGAGTATTTCGCGTCGCGCGTCGCGGACATGGAGCTCGAGGCCGGTCAGCAGGAGAAGGACGCACTCGCTACGTACGGCATGCTGGAGGGTATTGGCCAGACGCGCGTCGTCCTTGGGCGTTTCTGTACGCTGCAGTGATAGTGCTACAACTAGGCGCGATTGGATTGTGTGCCGATGTCCGCAATCGCCGAAGCGCGTCACGTCCCCCGAAAGTGCCGAGCCGACGGGTCGGCAGGGGCCGGCCAGCAAACTTCGCCTTGCTCCTGACGACGATCAGCGCCGCTCCTCGTCCTCGTTCAGACTGCGATGGTACGCGCCTATGTGTCCCCGGTGCGTAAAACAGTCTTTTGACGTGCTTACTTGGGTTGCTCACACTGAGGCCTAGGAAGATCGACTGATGGCGATCAGCACGAGGCCTTTATATCGCCACACGTCCACTGCGATGCTAGAGCCGGAGAAGGTCGGTATCGGTCCGCACACACAGTTCCGATGGCACTGACATATAAAATAGGCAAGGGAATTTGAAGCTGCGCGCGAGGCGCAACACCGCGCCAGCGAGGAGGCGCGGCAAGCGGCGGCGTTTTTGTTCTCCTGCCACCCTCGAGAACTCCGGGGGGCCAGGCGTCGTCTGCGGGCAGCGGGTCGTGTGCGAGAAGATGCGACAACGGCCCTGATGGAGTGTGCTTGGCGCATGGGTCTGGCAGACTGTAGCCAGTTCTGAAAGGTAGCACGCGCTATGTTAAATGGCACGATTTCTTGATGACCGGCCGATTTCTTAATGGCGCGGTGATTTCTTAATGGCGCAGCGATTTCTTAATGGCCGGCCCATTTCTTAATGGTGTTGTCTTGTTTTTTTAGAGATACAGACGTACCCTTCGCCCAGTACTTGTCATCGTCCGAAGTCGGGAGGTGGCGCCTGGCGTCTGTAGAAACCGTGAGACTGTTACAAGACTGTTATGATTGATGTACTCGGTACGTAGAATACTCACTGCGTGTCTTCCCGTCCGGCTGCCCATCTACAGTCGCTTCGGTGTTGTGGCACTCCTTGCAAAACGGCCGTCTCGACGGCGATGCGGCGAGCTTTGAAGTACGGAGACGAGTTGTGCTCCTGACCGATGAGTGACAAGGGGCGAAAGTGGTTTGCCAACTCCACGTCTACTCCCGAGGCGCTCTGACAACGCGAAGCAGGCATGCTCTTCGCATTGTGCGACCGCGGCTGGCCTGCTGACCCCAAGACGCCGAGGTCGGAAGGTAAGGGTCTGTTCGGCAACCCGATCTTGCGTTTCCGCAGCCGCATTTAGCGCCATGATTGGTGGAGAGGCCGTCGAAAGTTCGAGAGCCTCGATATTCTTGCCTTGTAAGGTAATAAGTTTGATCAAAATCCTTCGTCATGACGGAAGATCAGGTTGCCGAACAGACCCTAAGCGACAGGCTTGCGTTTGTCTGAGCCGTTGCTGCCGACGGCGTGTGGTCGTGCTGGGAAAAGGAGGCACGCAGACCAAGAGAAGTGTCGTCTCTAGCGAGCTTAGGATTGCTGAAAGCTGCAAGAGCACCTGTTGCTCTTGCTATTCGAGCGCGCGCATCGGGTTTCGGAAAGATTTGCGGTGAAGCGCCCGTTGATGTCCGGGCTTCGTCTATTTGAGTTCGACTCGCTGAACATGTTATAAGCCAGACAATGTGTCAAGTGCATGAAAGTAAATCACGTATGGTAGCAGGATCGGACATATCAGTTCTCAACCGTGCGGCCTGCGGTCGGATGGGGTTAGAGTCCTGTCAATGCGCGCACAACGCGAGACATCATGCACGGAGTCAGCCAGATCCAAGAAATCCGGCGGCGACTGCTGCCTGTCGTCGATGGGCGAGCGATGATCTTAGGCAAGGTCGACAATTGGGGTGGGGGGGCATCTCGGACGGCTTTGAAGTTTTTCGAAGCTTCCGGAGGTGGAGAGGTAAGGAGAGCTGAGAACAAGTTCAAAGAGTAGAGGGAGAGCAGCTCAAAGAGTAGAGAGGGAGCAGTAAGCCTATTGTCACAGGGAGATACTGATTTAATCTGTTCAGATGCGTGCTGGTGAGTCAGGAGGAGGCCATGCAGGGGGTTAACGCCATATAACTTATGAGTCTAGTAAGGATTGTCGTTACAGGCGGATTGCAGCCCGTGGTCGTGGCATGAAGCTACTCACGAAGCTCCGCGCGAGCCCGTCCCACGCTCTTCGCGAAATATCAAGACGGCGCGCCGGCTAACTATTTCGGAACTCTCCGCGCCCCGCCGGAGCCGAGATCGAGCGGAATCTCGGCGGGCGAGCAGCAAATTGATACGTGTCCGAGTTATCGAACTCGAGACCGCGCGGAAAGCAGGGCGTGCCGGGTGAAAGAATGACGCGGCCACGGGCGGAGCGATGCCGCGCAAGCGCCGTCCGACGACACTGCGGCGAGGTACGCTCTTCGCGGCACCGCAACCATCGTATAGCCCTACCGGCATCCTACGGCGAAATTCAAGTGTGCTGTCGGTACGTAAGCGGCAGACTGACAACTCGCGCCAAACTCGGTGTCAAGACCCAGAGGAGCGAAGGCCAGAAAAAAATGACGCACCCGGGAGGTGAGCGCGGTCGCGCGAGTGCAGCGGCCGCCGAGCAACGTGCGAGAAGCGTTTGACTGTGTCCAGCGGGGAGCGGCAGCGGTTCCTGCCTAACAACGCGCGCCCTCCAAATGGGAAGTGGTAAGCATCGTGGGCGCGGAGGGTAGTGGGTGCGGCGCACGGTTTCGCTGCTAGAGGATCGAGGATCGAGGATCAGCGTTACTGAGCAGGCGCAAGCAATATGGAAGAGTGATATGCGAGCAGAAGAAATGTTGCTGAGGATCGCGACACGCCAGAGAGAGGCGCTAGGTGACCGGTCGCCGTGGCGGCGGCTGGTGGTGGTGACGGCAAGAGAATGCCAGAGCGCGAAGCCGAGATCCGTATTCCCCGCCATGCCGTATGATATTATGACTACGCGCGAGCGCTCTATATACGTCGCATTGAAAACCTCTATCGTACAAAAGTCTTTCCGCTCCGCTGTCGCGTCAGGACGCGGCTCGCGCTAACTTCGGCTTTCGCCGCCCCTCCGAAGACGCCGCGGCCTGCAGCCCGGTCGGAAGCAGACGGCGGGTCTATCCTCCGCGTCTACCGCGGTGCAAAAAGCAGACCGGCGGTGTCCGTGAAAGCTACTATCGCTCGTGTAGACGCGCGTGAGGTCGTTCATTCAGTTGCCTCCGCATGAGTTGTCAGCTACCAGGACTTGCAACGGCGCAGCGCCCGACGTCGTCTGGGCTTGCGAGTGGCGTCTCACCTCATGCCGCGCTTGCCGTCCGCCAAGTCCGGAAGTTATGCGCCGTCTTACATGGAGTGTGTTAGAACCTACAGGTGAGACAGAACGATAACTAGGAGAAAGCCCGCTCATAGCATGAGTTGTTGCTCCCGTGCATATTCTGCCGGCCGGGTAAGTCGCAGAAAAGATATACTTATGCGTCGACCTCGGTTGCGACAGTCTTCGAAATTAACGCGCTGTACCCGGGCGATCAGAGGCCTAAGCCGACATTGATTCAGATGAGCGGCGATTGATGGAAAGATCACAGCATCATAGACTAGAATACCGAGTAGTAAGCGTAAAAAGACTCTAGAAAGATAGCAGAAAAAGGCCCACTCTTCTGCCGCTGCGTAACAGCGTCGCGCCCGGCGGACATGCGGACAAGGGATTGACGAGAGATCGCCGCTCTAGCGGCCAGCTTAATCTAACTCATGCCTATACGGCGTTATGCTCAGAGCAATTGGTTTCGCGGTTGGCAAAATAGGGGCCGATCGAGTCGCAGGTCCGGGCGGCGCAGTCCGCGTTGCCGCAAGTGAGAAATGTGCAACGAAGGACGCGCGCGTACTCTGGTGGAGGAAGTCCCTTGGTGCCTCGGGTGTTTCTTGAGAAGGATAAACGGGCGCGGGGTGGAGAGAGGCGGCGTAGAAGCGTAGAACGTTGTGAAGGCGGGGAAACGGCCTCATGAGGCGCGGCAGATGCGGCGGGCGTGCGGAGCCACGCCTCAAACGTCTGTGGAATGAAGTGCAGGCAAGCACGGCAGCGCGGAGGTCCTGCCGGTGGGGAAAGGAAGGTAGGCGCTTTGATGCCGATGGCGAGGCGCGTATTATCCAGCTCGCGCAGGGCGGATCGGGGTAGGAGGATGGAAGACAAAGCGGGTGGCCCGACTGGCCACTCGTCCATGGGTGCGGAATGGTTCAAGGGGTGAGGGTGATGTACTAAATTCAAAGCTCGTTCTACGTTCCGAGTTCGAGTTTCGAGGGTAAGATCAGTTCGCTTGGGCCACAACACTTCCGAGGAGACGCACTTCCTCCTCTGGCTGGCGTCGACAGATGCATCATGGACCATCAACACAACGACGCTCATTCCTCCACAGCCCAGCATATACACCTAACGTTAACCCGACCGACTCGACGCCGTGATTGGCCGTAAGCGCCCTCCTTATCTCGATGGCTCAGCCCATCGTTGGCGCCTCGACTCTCTCTCTCTCCCGCCATGGACACTTCTAACCCCTCCTTTCTGTGCATCTACCAATATCCTGCCGTCCTGCGGAAGCTCGAGTCCGCGGCCGGACCACGTCTATCGCGAACGGTAGCGGTTGCTCCTCTGCGCGCATTCCTCGAAAATTGCATTCGCCGTGGCTCGGAAGGCTCGCTGCGCCTTGAAGACTTCTCGGCGCACCCGCGTCTTATGCCTAGCCTTCACCTCGTCATCTGCATGATGGAGGCCCAAATGCGTCAGGCTAATGTAAGCCCTCTCTTGCTTCTTCTTCTCGGGACCTAATCTAACATTGCCTAGGATTGGTCGGAATGGTTGACTGCCATCGGTGTCTTGTTTCGAATCAACGCTGCCGGCGCCCTTCAGCAGTCCATTCACGGACGGCCGCGCGATGTTGACGAAGGCGTGCAAGACATTTCATCTCTCACGGTGCCTACAACGCGTCTGGCCGACTTTTTGTACGATTCCCGGCATTCACCTCGGTTCCACGCGGCCTGGGAGGAGGTTCACCAGTTCACGTTCAGCGTGATCAACACGCTCCAGATAATCCAGAGGTCCGTTACTACGCGTACAGTTTGATTGAATATTGATGGTGAATCCAGCACGATGTACGGCTCGGCCATCAGCGCCGATGCGTTCTGGCTGCGTGTCCGAAACAGCGAAGGGTGGGCTGGCAACGCGTACCTCGGTCTCGCGTACACCGCCTTTTGGAGGACTGAGTTGCCCCGTGTCGCTGCGAGTAGGAGCCTCCGCTCTGTCCTCTCCACCGCCGAGGCGCTTGCGTTTCCGGATGTCGCCGTCTTCTTCCAGGCTGAGGAGATCCAGGCGATGCGGAGGCGGGGTTTCAACGGCGCCAGTCCTCCGCCCTTCGGCGATGTGCAGTTGCATGCGCTTCGTCCCCTACACTTTGATTGGCCTGAGATCAAGCGGGCGTGCTCTAACGTCGTTTGTTTCAGGCCGCCCGCTGCCGAGGCACTGCCACACTGCAACAAGTGTGGCCGTGCGTTCTATTGTTCTGCGGAATGTCAATTGGTGTACGGCATTGACTACTTATCCGCGAGACAACACTAATTCATCCGTGTACAGCGACTGGCGCAAGCATCATAAGAAGATTTGCGCTCTCGCGACTGTCCTTCAGGCGATGGGAGCGCCGCTGCCGCCGTAGTCTCCCGATCTCCGTCCTATCCTTTTACTGCCCTGTTGGACCTTGCATGTATTGCTTACGTTTCCTCTGCATGTATAAGGCAGCAAGCATAATCTATTATCTGGTTCCCTATCGTCCATCGCTCGCAACACGTCTAAACCTCAAGTTGCATTCATGCGTCACGTCACGTCCTATTTACAACATCCTCAAATGTGCACACCCATGGCGCTACGGGAACTGAACGAGCGGTGCCCGTCACGCTCCCTTTCTTTCTCGTCCCCACCAAAGTCGACCCTTTTCATTCAGTTTCATCGGGCTACGCGCCATCCGCCGTGAGTGCGAGATCGTGCCGTGTGCCGCAACACTCACCGTTTTCCCTCCCGCACGCGGCTGCAGCTTCCTCCTCCTCCGCCCTCGACGCTCGTACGAGGTTTCACAAACTTCCGCGAGGCGCTCTCCGCATTACCCCCATCATCAATACTGTCGATCTTCCTCGCGAGCGCCTTGACTGGCACCTGGTCAGGTCCTAACCAGTCCATCTCCTGATCCTCAGCATCCGCTACCTTCTCGCCGTTCCCGTCTTTTCCCTCCTCGCCGTCCTCACCCTTTTCCTTCTTCCCGTCCCCACCCTCGTCTGGTTCAGTCTCGGACACCTCGTCCACCACTACAGGCTCCTCGTAACTATCTTCCGAGTCGAGTTCATCGGCAGGCTCGCCGTCTTTCACATTCCCCCACTTATACGCTACCCGTCCGTGAGTTCTTATCGCCTGACATCTCGAGACCGTGCTCACCGTTGATAATGGAAGCATGGCGCGTGATCTGTGCTCTAAATTCTGACTCTACTGCCGGCTTCCCTTCACTGAACTTCTTCAATGTACGCCCGGGCAGATCACAGACTCCTTCCGCGCTGTAGGCCGATCAGCATTCCGAGCGCCCGCATATCAGTCCGCGACCACGCACCGGTAGACTTTGTCCGGCCCCGCCGTGTACCATACACACACACCCGAGCACCTCCTCGCAACGTACGACGCAATCATCTGCAGCACCGGATTAAGATCTTCAATGAACCTGTAAATCAAGGTGAGTTCAGTATCCAGTACAGGCAACGCGGCGCGCACTGTTCGGCTT